GTCCATTTCTGAAATCTTGTTGTTTATCTTTTGGATTTCTAATTGTTGTCTTTGTATAATCTAGTTGTTAATTTATTTTGGCCTCTTGTTCTTGCATAATTTTCCTGAATTCTTCCAATTTATTGTCCTTATTTTCCATGAATTTGTCTTTTTTTCCTCATGTTTGTCAGCTTTTTGCCTCAGTTCATGGAGAATTCTGAGTATTAGAGATCTGAATTCCCTATCAGGTAGTTCTAGTGCATTTTCCTCCAGAGGAGGGTCATCTGGCGTTTTATTTTGGACACCTACTGGAACCATCCTGTCCTTTTTTTGTAAATGCTTTGTTATTATCTGCCCTCTTTGGGGCATTCAGTAGTTATTTTTCTTGTTTATTGATTGTAGATTTGTTTGTTTCTTCCCTTTTTTTAAAAATTTGACTATGTCTGAGCAGGTGGACTGTGTGTTCTTTGTTGTTTGCTCATCTGTGGGCACAACACCTTTCGCCTCCTTCTTCCACTGGCAGGGTCAGTCACTCAGATATGGTATGGCAGGACAGGTCTAGCTGAAGTGGAGTTACTGGGACGGGTCGTTTGTGGCACTTACTACAGCCACCAGAGCTGGTCGGTAATCAGTGCAGGGCAGGTTCCAGTAGGCCATTCCTGTGCTGCTTGGTGGTGTGATGTCAAACGCATGGCGCAGGTAGGCAGGATACAGTGGGGAGATTGTTATGTGTGAAGCTAAGACAGATATGGAAGAGAGGAGAGAGGAACAGAAGCCAAAAACATACAAACAAACAATAAAGAATGCTAGGGGAGCTTGCCGTTGGAGTGGAGAGATGATAGACTATGAAATGGAGAAAAACAGAAAGGTGAGGAGGAAGAAAAGAAAAGAATGAATAAATAAGAATCAGAAAGGTTAAAGAACCACAAAGTTCCCAGGGATCCCACCAGTGCAGCTATGAGGCCTGGGGAAGTCGCTCTCAGGTGTTACAGTACAGCCTGGCTAGAAAGCGTAGAGGTATACAATGCCAGGTATTCAGGGAAACTGAGCAATGAAGAAGGACAAAAAGGGAAAAAGAGGAAAAAGAAAACAAAACAAATTAAAAAACAAAAACAAACAAACAAGAAAAGCCTCCAAAGAAACATGGGAAAGAAAAAAACAACGCAAGAAATAATGCCCTCAGGGATCCCTCTGCACATCTATGGAAGACAAAGGGGAGTCTCCCTGCCACGCAGCTCAGCCTGGCCAGAAAGGGATCCCAGCTGCAGAAGAGGAAAAGAAAACAAACAAACAATTCAAAAGAAACAAACAAACAAACAAAAGCCCAGGGATCACACCAGTGCAGCAGCCCAAACCGGGAAGCAGCTCCACACTCGAACAGAGCTCCGCAGCCCCTCAGGAAGAAGCAAAGTTGGTGCACGGAGCCAGGTACTTGAGCGAAGGGTGGTGGTGGTGGTGGGAGGCAAGTAAGAAATCAAAAGAAGTCGAAAAAAAATAAAAAGCAACACTAACAGTCAACAAATGGCGCTCAGAGAGCCAACTAGTGCGGGCTGGTGTTTCTCGGACAAGAGACTGTGTCCGTGGGAAGCAGAGGGGGCAGAGTGTGGGTGAAGAAGTGTAGAGAGTGGGAAAGCATATATCACAAATTACTGGAGCTCTGCAGCCCCTCAGGAAGAAGCAAAGATGGCGCACGGAACGAGGTACTTGAGCGAAAGGAGTGGGAGGTGGGGAGAGGCAAGGAAGAAGTAAAAAGAAGCGGAAAAAAAGCAACACCAGCAGCCAACAAATGGCCCTCAGAGAGCCACCCTTTCGGGTGTGTGGAATCGAAGCAGCCGCTGTTTCCCGGTCAAGAGACTGTGGCCGCAGGAAGCAGAGGAGGCCGAGTCGGGGTGAAGAAGGGTGGGGCGTGGGAAAGCGTATATCGCCAATTACCGGTTGTTTTGTCTCCCGCTGGAAGCTCCGTGTGGCTGCTTTATTGTAACCCATTTGCTGGTCTCTGATAGGAGTCCAAGATGGCGGATCTGCGCTACTTTAGCGGGTAGGGGACCTCTGCATGAATTTCTCCTCGCTCTCTGTTCTCTGTCAGTTTTCTCACTCCATTTGGTGCTTGGCTGAGTTCTTTATCTATTCATTTGATGGTTTAGGGTTTCAGGATTGTTGTATTCTCTGTTTGGCTTAGTTTTTCAGATCTTTGCTGTGGAGGGACAGCTTGGTGCTTCTGCCTAGAGTGCCATTTTGCCGGAACTCCGGAATATAATTTTGACTATGTCTTTTCCCACCACGAATGTTGTTTTTATTTTCAAACCTCCCCTCCCGCCCACTTGTCTACTAGTTCACATCTCCTCTTACCTACTCAGTAACATTCTACTTTCTTACTTTCATCATCACTTTTGCTCTTTCCATTGGTTTATTCCCACTAGCATACAACTGTGCCATTTCTCCCTATCTTGAAAAAAAATAGCTTCTTTTAACTCAAATTCCCACAGCAATCTCTCAACTAGTTCCCCACTTCTCTGCTCCACCTTCATCAATACTTCTCAGTTTTCTATGCTCATTTTCTTCCTGCCTCTTTCAAGCCCATTCTACCTATATTTACACTCCATTGCTCCACTGAAAACACTCTTGTCAGATCCCAGTGAGTTCCATGTTGCCAAAATCCAATGGTCAATTGGGTTTAAATGCTTCTTCTCAAGCTATCTTTCTGTTTCCTCCTCTTTTCCTTGCTTTCTTATTGTTAGAGTGCCCCAGTTTCCATCATTTGGAATGATTCTCTTCTTCATCTATATTTATTTCCATGGCTTTAAATGTCATCTATATGACATACGACTGACAATGACTCCCAAATTTCTATTTCCAGTCTGAATTCCTCCCCACCCCTGAACTCCACACATTGCATATTCAAATACCTACTTGATATCTCCACTTGGATTTATAATACATCTGATATAATCTGTGAAAGTTAAACTTCTTATTTCTTCCCCTGAATCTGATGCATACTTAGTCTTTCCTGTCTCAAAACAACCCATTATTCCAGTTGCTCAGGTCACTACATTGTCATCTTTGACTCCTCTTTGGTTTATATGCCATATCTTTGAAGGTACTCCACTACCTTCAAATCTAACTACTTCTCACCATCTTCACTGATACTATTTTATTCAATTCATCATCCTCTCTAACCATCCACTCTTATCACCCCACAGGCTATTGTCAACCCAGTGACTATAGTGATCTTTTTAAAATGTCCATCAGATCATGAGACTCCTCTGCTCAATGCTTTCTAAGAACTCCACCTCACTAAAAGTAAAGCCAAAGTTTTTACAATAGTGTACAGGGCCCTACTTGCTATAGTTCTACCTCAGTTCTACAACCTCATTTCCAACTTCTCTTTCCCTCGCTCACTCTGCTTCAGACATACAGGTCTCCTTGCTCTTCTTTGACCATTCTATGCATCCTCCTTCTTCAGGGCCTTTATGCTTGCTCACTTCTATACCTGCAATGCTCTTTCTCCACATAGCCAAATACCTCTCTCCTTTAATTACTTCGTCTTCACTTAATGTCATCTTCTCAATGAGGCTTCCTCTAACCACCTAATGTAAAACTGTAAGCACCTTCATCCTTTGCACTCCTTATCCCCTTACCTATTTTTCGTTTACTCCATAGCACTTATTACTTTCCAATTAATTCCTCCTTTCTTCCTTTTTTATGTATATATATACATAATTTGTGTGTGTATATATATATATATATATATACACACACACATACATAATGTGTGTGTGTGTGTGTGTGTGTGTGTGTGTGTGTGAAGTCCTGGGTAATGCAAATGGTTAATGCACTTGGCTGCTAACCAAAAGGTTGGAGGTTTGAGTCCACTCAGAGACTCCTTTGAACAAAGGTCTGGTGATCTGCTTCTAAAAATCAGCTATTGAAAACTCTGTGGAGTACAGTTCTACTCTGACATAAATGGAGTCACCATGAATTGGAGTTGACTCAATGGTAACTGGTTATGGTTATGTACATATTGTTTTCTCCACTAGAATGGAAATCTCATAAAGTCAGGAATTCTTTGCCTGTTTAATTAACTGCTGTGTTCCTAGTATGCATAGAATCATTCCTGGCAAATAGTAGATGGTCAATGAATATTTGATGAATGATTAAATCCTCATATCAAACTCTAATAAGGTTATCTACTGAATTCCAAATTTGAATTTGCTATAAACATGTTGTAACAATATACTGCCTCAATTGGATCTATTTAAAGTTTCTCACACTCTAGATTAGTTTTAATCTGAAGCATAAATAGATGATGGAAACTTAGGATGGTGTTGACTGTATATTTTTTTATGACTGAGTATACATTGTATTGGAGAACAAGTATTTCTATAAGCTATTGTGAAATATAACTGGTTTGTGTTTTCCAGAGTTACTTAGAGACATTGCAGCCTTCTCATTAAAAATTATTTTAATGGAAATATGTTAAAGAGCAATCATAATATAGTCAGGAGAGTCCAATGACTGCTGTAAATACTGGGCAGATACTGCAAGATAGTCACCTGATTTTAAATTTGTCTCCCAAAATTACACAAAAAAAGTCTCTTAGCACCTGGGTTTCTGTCTACATACATCACAACTGAAAGCTCCTTCCTAAACCTAAATCTAGCCATCATTTCAGTTGTACGGTTATAGAAATGATTCACTAGGAACTAAACAATTTGTCATCTAGACTTGTGAAAGGCGTTCTATTCCATTTTATCAGATATGTACAGTTTTGTTATCAAAACAGAGAATTTACGATTCATACACTTTAACGCCATACAAAAGCACAAGGACTATGTCCCCATTCAATCCACCATTATGAAGGCTATGTGAAGGCTTGTGTCTTACCTGTTGGTTGAGTTCTTTTTTGATAGATTCGGATTCCTCGAGCATTTTCCATTTTAATTAATGAATGAATATCAGTACCATTAAATCGATTTATCCTTATGATATTGTAATTGTCAGAATTGATGGCATACAAATAGTTTTCAAACACAGTTATACCATAAAGATGTCTGACCTATAAAGAGGGGCAAAAATAACTATGATTTTTAATTATGCTGTTTTCAAAGTGAAGGGAAAACTGATTGCTGTTAACTAGCATGGAAAATGCCTATAGTAGGAGTATCAAAAATGTAACATTTGTTTTCATTGGAGGAATTTGATATTTCACTAATTTCAAAATTTTCTCTGAAGAATAAACCATTGTAACGTAGTGGATAAAGAAGTTCCAAACTTACAGGAGATAATTTTATTCATGTTTCTTTAAGAAAACACAATCAGTAGTTACTTTTCAAAGGCTAGTAAGAACCAAGTTTTTAATTAAATTAAAAAATATACCTATGGCTCTTTTATTTATAATTTGACATGTCTTTATGGACTACTTGTTCATATAGTCATGGGAATTTAGAAGCTGCAATATAGCTCTGCCTGCGAGAAAACATCTTTGAAATTTTTTATGGTCAAAATCCCATCTTTACCACAAGTTACATTTAGACTACTATTCGAGGCAACGTGGAAAACAGTATATAATGAAATAACATATTTTCAATAATTGTAAATATAATGTCAGCATTTTACTTAGAAACTGCTTTCTTCCTAAAGCTAATTCATAATGGGAAGTGGGATTATTTGCTTTTTGAATGACAATGCTTTGTTGCTATCCAAGACAATTAAACTAACAATCTAACTCTCTTCCTTGACAGAGATCTCGGGATTTGTGGAGCAGAATGGAAACCTTAACGTCACATCAAGCTTCCAGTGGACCAGATGGAAGAATGAGTATACTGATTTTCTATTCAAAGGCACATGCTTGACACACTGCCTTTGGACATTCCTTGGATTTTACTTCATTCTAAATGGTTCTGGTCCAGGGTATGTAGAGTTGTCAATTGATTTGCTGTAGAAATTTTGATGAAAAAGCATTTGTCAGTATTCTCTGTCATTACTCTGTGTACTTTTAGTATAAAGGAGAACTTGGGAAAGCACGTGTGGTTTGACAGTACACTTATTTGCAGAACAAAATGGAATTATTTTAGATCTTAACCAGGAAATCCCATCAATTCTGTAGTCTAACCAGAAACATTTGATTTGTTATCCCCCTGCTATACATGACTTGTCACTATTATTCCTGATCCTCTTATAGAAGAAGTGACTGAACAAACACCGGCTTTTGAATGTTGTTTTGGGGTTATGTCTCACTTCTTCTGGTCTAGGCTGGACATGAATGATAGCAATTAATTGGGAGAGTTATTCCACGCTAAAATCCACCGTTAGTCTGTCAGTTTGTTGTGCTGTGGTGGCTTGCACGTTGCCGTGATTCTGGAAGCTATGCTACCGGTATTTCAAATATCAGCAGGGTCACCCATGGTGGACAGGTTTTAGCTGACCTTCCAGGCTAAGACTAGGAGGAAAGTCCTGGGGATCTACTTCCAAAAACCCTGGGCAGTGAAAACCTTATGATCGTTCCTTTGTACGTAGTGTCACTATGAGTTGGAACCAACTTAATGGTATCTAAAAACAACAACAAAACCCAAATGATATTTTTCTATATAAGTATTACTCCCCAATTATGTGTGTGTGTGTGTGTGTGTGTGTGTGTGTGTGTGTGCGTGCACATGGATAAATATATGTAGACGTGAACATGTGTGTACTTACTAATAATCTCCATGTACTTGATGTCATATTCAGTAAATATGTCTAAGGTTCAATTTTGTCCTGTTTTTTTTTCTCCCCTATAAAAAATAAAGGCAAGCTCGACTCTTTCCTTGCCATTAATTTCATGTGTATTTTGCTCAAAGTTTGGGGGCACCCACCTGGGAGTCTGCAGCTGTAGCATGCACTCATTCATTGCTTACTACATAATTGCCATTCCACATCTTGGGAGAGAAAGCACAGCTACATAAGAGGTAATTGGCCAGAGTAGAAAACATGTGCACACCGTAAAGAACAAATTTCATTTCCCACCTCTTTGTCTTCCTTCAGAAGAATCTGTTTCCCATGAAATATGTACATAGCTTCCTGCTCTGCTAACTACCCCCAGCAGAGGTGGAAGGAGCTTGGACTGGTGGATAGCCCATTCTGCATACAGTCCAAATACATAATTTTTTTTAAATCTATGTTGGATTACTTAGTGTCCAACAAGTATGTGTCTAGGGAACTGGCAAAACACAGGAAACAGAAATAAAAAAATACGTATAATTAAAAATTCTCTACATCAGAAAAAAAGGTTTTGAAGTAGTCATGGGGAATATCATGTTTGAATTCCTTATCCTTGTTTTAAGATTTAGTATTGTTTTCATTTTTTAATTAGGTATAAATAAAAGGTCCATAATAATCATTTCAAGGATTAGGTCATCTAAAGATCATAGCCTAAGCCTGCCTTCCCCCAAAAAAATCATCAAGGTTTTTAGCACAGCTGAAGGTAAGAGAGAAATAATTGTCCACATCTGTAATATTGGACGCATTTTTTAACCACCTAGATTAGTGCATTTGTTTATCTGTCAAGGAAAGGGAAAACGCTTCATTTTTAAACACTTATTAGAAAGAGTAACTTTAAGAGATAATTATATAATATCTATCAATCAGAATTGACTCGATGGCCGTGGGTTTGGTTTTGGTTTGAATTGCAAAAGAAAGCAAACAGGTTTACATGTTTCAGCTCCGTAGAATGAGAATCATATATGAAATTAGTGCAATCAGTGAGGTGCAACTGAATTTGACATACTGCACTAGTGGCAAAGGCCTATTTCCACTTAAAGATCTTCTTTAGGTGTTTACTGAGAGTTATTTGTAAAAACTTACAATTCAGCAAGGGTAAAACTATCATAAATGAGAATAATTTTGACCTCAGCGACTTTCACAGAACTCTCATTTGAGGAAGTACTTGAATGCATCAAAAGGCAAAAATTAATCCAACCTATTAAAATAAAGATATTTTTGTAAGCAGGCATTTGCTTTTGTTGGCAAAATATCTCCAATGCCACGTGGGACAGATGATAGTTCAGCTCCTTATGAATAAACTACTTAAATTAGTGTTTAGTAAGTAGGTAATAATATTTGTCCTATCCTAATACATTTTTTTCTTACTAGTATAGCTTTTTTATTCTTGCTTGTGTTTATTTTGGGTTACTTTTTGTTTGTTTTGTTTTTAGTAGTGGGTAGGAAGGGTGATAAGTTTATCCAACACCATGGAATGCATTCTGAAAAGAAAATTCTCCCATATAAGAAATATACCATAATTTTTATGACTCATTTCAGTTTGATTTCATAAGAAATTTTCAGCATTGCAAATTTTGGTCTTATTCATTGTATGATACCACCCATTTTATTACATGACCATGTTTTCTAACATATATTGTACTTACATGTCTGCCTTGAATAATAATATGTCTGTTTTTTCCTTGATAGTCCACTACTTCCATATAGTCCAAGTAAAGATCTACCCAGTAAACCAATTTGTTGACTAAGTCTAGTGCCAGTGCAGCTGGCTGCTCTATCTTTGAATCAATTATCCTTGTTCTGTTCATCCCATCCATGTCACATCGCTCCACTTTGGCCACATTCCCGTAGTCAGTAAAGAAAAGTTTTCTGTTGAAAGAAAACTAAATGTTAAAGTGGAAGTGGGGGAAAAAAGCATATTCGGTTGAACCATCTGTAAAAAACAGAACTTTTTGTTCAAATTTATTTCAGTGGTTACCTCTGTTAGTTTCCCATAACCATTTCCATATAATATCGCTCATAAACAGAGAAATCTGCGAATGAATATTGCAGGGCATAAGAGAGCAGGTTAAACAACAACTGTAAAATATTCCCCAGAATGAATGATTATGGTGGGTTTATTTTTGTATTAGGAGAAATGTTTCTTTAAGCCTCATAGAGCCAATGCACACGCACCACAGGAGACAGCGTGGAGCCCATTTGATGAAAGCTTCAGAAGGAGCCAAGTCACCAGGCCAGGGCATGTGAGCTATCAGGCTTTATCTTCAACCTGCTTTTCAAATTGCCTGGTAATGTTTGTCTCCTGTAAAAGCTACTATGTGGAGCTCAGTGATGTTATGAGTGGTAGAGAATAGCAAACCTGGAATGGAATTAAGCAGATGGAAAAGCAAATGTGCTGTTTGTTGCAGTGGAAATAAAAAATATCAGTAATTAACCCCCAACCAATCCCAAATATTCCCAAATCACGAAATTTTATAAAAGACAATGCATGCCATTTCTCCTCATTGCCTTTTAAGATATTTTGAAGAAAACGTTGAAAAGGAATGTTGATCTCAGATACAACAAATTCTCCCATGCGGCACCAACAGTCTCTGTCAAGGCTTAAATGTGCCTTCAACACCTCTGGGTCTAACATTTGATTAGTATTTACTATGTTTAGTAAACACAAATCAATTTCAATTAACTTGACAATATTTTAACAAGATTACCTACTCATGAGACTAAATTACATTTGTAAATAGAAGACCATCTTGCTTTGACTTAAATAAAATCTCAAGAATAATCTGATTTACAGTGACTGAGCAATATTAAGATTACCTGGAGTATAGAATATTTGATTTTACAAACTTGGAGAATTAGTTTTTAGTTACTTTCCTCAACATTTCTGCATTATATAACAGTATGGGGTACCTTCAAGGTAAAAAGTATTTATTTAAACTTTATCACTTTCTGCTGTTGGAGACTTTAATTGTTAAACACTAATGCGTACTGTTGCGTGATAGTGTGAGCCAGATTTTATTATGAGTATATATTTTTCCAAACGTTCTTGCAAGATTAATTTATCACAATAAGTTAGAAGTAATTTTTCAAGCAATTCCATTCAGGTGAAGAGCTTTCTATTGTAGTCAAGAATAAAGGAAAGGACATATAGTGCTATGTTTTATTGTTATGCTAAACACTCAAACTCTCTCTCTCTCTCTCATTTTCTCTCTCCCTCTTCCTGTTGCCATCCTGAATCCCTTCTTTCTTCACTTGGAAATCAATTTATTAATAGTTATCTCAAATTACGCTTCTGTAAGGGCTCCCAGTTTCTCTCTTATTTCCTGAAGCACACTACCCACTATTCTTGTTATATGAAACTCTTTCTTTCCCCAGGCCATAATGACTCTCCTTTAAAATTTTTCTTCTCTGACTGGTCCACTTCACAGATGTGAAGAGAAGCTAGAGTAATTCTAGTTTGACTTTGAACATGGAAAATTGAACGCTCTGGGACACTACGCAAATAGTGGTATAAAGCAGGTAATTACAACTGTCTACTTGGCATTTAAGAGGAAAGATGAGTCTGGAGAAAGAGACTTCTCTGAAGTCATTTTGAGATGACTTAAGTGTATATGATCCCAAAAGAAAATAAAGAGAAGAATGCCAAGACAAGAACTTTTGGAGGCATGGTGTTGGAAAAAGAAGATCAAATAAGATCAGAGGTTATGGTCAAAGAGATAACACAGACTTTAATAGAAGTCTAAAAGAGAAAATTTCCAAGATATTTAAAGGATTGGGGTGGCTGACTGGGTCAATCACTTCAGAATATTAAAAAGAAGGATGTTAAAGAAGATGTCATTTAATTTAGTATAAATTAAAGTACTAGTAATCTTTGGCAATGCTGTTTGAGAAGTATAAATAGGGGAAAAGAGTAAGCCCAGCAATGATGGGGGAGATCAGGAAGTGCATTCTTTCAAGTTTTTCACTGACATTGACCTACTATTTTAGGAATGATGCAAGTGATTCTTATGTTTATTTTTCATAATAAAGCTGGTTGAGGTAACTCTTTTATCTGAAAAAGTTTCAGACAAAATATGAAAAAAGTGTAAATATATAATACATCAAAATTTTACTCTTTCATTGAAAGTGAAAAACAAAAAGAATAGGAGGACTTGGGGTATATGCAGCAACACTAAGCAAGGAGAAATAGTAAAGGGTGTGTCATTGTACCCTCAGCACTGGTGCCCAGCGGGGGCTTAAAAGATGTTCCTTACACTGAACTGAACTTTCTCAGACTTCAGAATCTTGACTATGGTGAACTCTGTTTATTTCCAAGTGAACTGCAAGAAATAGAAAAATTATCTAGGATAATAGCCATAAAGCTGCACACATTAAGTGCCTATATTCACATGATTCCATAGATGTTTCTTTGTTTGCTTGCTTCTTTTTAGAATTTTTAACTTTAGTTCAAAACTTCTTAACTGATGTTACGGAGAAGAGCTTAATTTTGAGGGCATTCATTAACTGAGGTGTGGCTGCATTGTAATAAATAAACACAAGCTAAAGATTTTAATTATTGAAAATCTAACCAAATTTCATTAGTGATACGAATGTAACTGGATTAAAAAATTACTCTTTTCTTTTCCATAAACTAATTCTCCATATCTTAAAAAAGTAAATATTGCTCTATGAACACCATCATCTCATTGACACTCATAATTACTTGCAAGATAGATGGGGCAGACTGTTTCTATTTTACAGATGAAACAGGCTCAAAGTCTACATGGTTAGCCAATGTCAGAACCATAATGCAAATGTCATGGCTTTTTGTTTAACTTTTTATTTGGGAAGAGTTTTCCAATTACAGAAAAGTTGTAAGAATAGTACAATAAACTCCTGTGCCCTTCACCTAGATTCACCAGTTGCTAACTTTTCACCCCAGTAGCTTTTTCATTTACTCTCTGAACCATTTGACAGTAGGTTGTAGATCTCATAACCCTTTACCTCTGAATTCTGCAGCATGTATCTCCTGAGGACAAGGACATTTCCTTGCATAACCACAGAACACCTATCGAAGTCAATACTTCTAATGTTAATAGAATATATAGACCTTAATTGAAATTTTCCTATTGACCAAAAATGCTCATTATAGTAAAAAAAAAAAAAAATTCTAGTCCAGAATTAAATCTAGCATCATGCATTGCATTTAATTGTCTTTTCTCTCTAAACTCCTCTAATCAGGAACAGCTCTTCAGCCCTTCTGTGTCAATCATGATGTTGATATTTCTAAAAGGTACACATGAGTTGCTTTGAAAACTATCCCGTTTGGATTTGTCTGATTTTTCCTCATAATTAGATTTATGTTATCACTTTTGAACTGAAATACAATGGTTTTACACTTTATTGTCACTGCCCCTAGGGCTTAGAAACCATAGGGAAGTCTGTGACCCACCCAAGAAATTCTATAAAAAGGGTGGTGTGGGGGATTCCATTTATTCCATCGTATTCACTGTTTTCCTCTTAACTTCTGGATTCCTCAGTCATCCATTCAGCAACTCCTCCCACTAGGAACCACCTCCTCCTTGGGCTTCTCTGTGTATCCGTGAAGGGGCTCCAATACAGCACTCTGCTGCCAAACTCATAGTGATGGTGGAGACCATTCATGATTTTGTCCAATGCCCCATTCTCTCAGGAATGCAGAATTGGCATGGCTTCTCTCCTGTTCTTTCTCATGTTATCAATTATTTTTTTTTTATTCTGCAGCATAAAGGTGAAATTAAATTAAGATTGCTATTCTCTTCTTCATCACTTGTTTTTTGAATGCCATTCGATTCAGTTCCCACGCATAGAAATACAAAAATAAAACAATACTCCAACTATTACCTCTATTTCTAAAATAACTTAAACTATTATTTCATGAAAGAAAGACAGATTTCTTTCAGACTTTCAATTATCCAACCCAGTTCATCATTCTTATCATTCAGCCTCTCTGGTAAATGGAAGTTTATCATTTTGGCTTCATACCTCATCAAATGTGGGAAATTGATTTTCTCTTACATCTTGGTTGATTACATGAGTAGCCCTGTTTTAGTATAAATATATAAGTTTTATACAGTTGAGGATAGTAAGAAACTTTGAGTATCATTGGTAAACTTGCCTGACATAAATCAAAAGTCACAAAGGGAGCACTCCCAGACAGTGATAGAGCACTGTGCTTACAGAGTTACGGCTCCAATCATCCCTGCACTTCAAAGCGAAGCAATTGTTACACACACTGACGTCTTAAAACATGTTTTTTTCTTCCTTTTTTAGCTGATAAAAATAAGACTTGCTTTTGCAAGTCTTCCGTACTTTAATCCAAAAGGACAAAAAGGAAATTTAAACACATCAGAGTCCTGTCCATGTCCTTTAACTGCATAGTCAACTGTGATTATGTGTCACCATCCGTACGTACCCCTTGCATTTTGGTTACAGCAAATAATATGATGGAATTTAGAAATTTTCAAAACATTCTCAAAAGGAAATGACCTATCATTGATTTTAGGTTTTTAAAAATGAGGTTATATCACAAGATATTAATCAAGGGATGAGAGATAAAACTGGGGGGGGCATATATTATCAGAGTTCAAATATCACTGTTCTGGTAAGGAGCTGGCAAACATTTATGTTTATTAATAACATGATAAATAGATAAACGCATTTTCTTACATTTTAGGAATATGATACCTATCTTCCTTAGAAAGGATTACATTAGGAACTTCACTTTATATTACTCTTTTTGTAATCATTTAGTGTTTCCCAAATAGCATTAATAGCAATAAAATTTTTTTCTTTCATTGTCTAGACAAAAATTGAAGAAGAAAGCAATTTTTTACATTATATAATTAAAG